GCTTAGGAGAACGAGGGCCGCAGCAAGAATCTGCCGACGTCAGCTGAGTTTTACACTGAAGTAAAGGTGTCCTTCCAGGTTTGCTTCAGCATCATACATATATTCTTTGGCCACCGTACGGTGGCCCCGAGAGCTCAAAACATCACAAATATATAACTACAGGAAATTATGACAACAGCTTCATCAAGAAGAACATAAAAAGCTGTAGAGTTCGGACTCATGAGGTGAACGTTAACATAAATCAGCAGAAACTTCTACACGAATTCGCTTCGACTGCGGAGGAACCTGAGGATGGAGCGCTTCCTTCAGGTTCCACTGTAATCTGAGACATTTACAGGTTTCATCAGGCTGGATAAATTTTTCTACAGAAATCACTCACACAAATGTGTAACTTTTGGCTGTATGAATAAAATGTACTGAGATGTACTGAGAATAACGTGTGTATTGTATTAATATAAAAGGAGATGAGATGAAAAACATTTTTCAGCTTTGTCTACATTTAATATTTCTAATGCGAGCAAAGTGAGGAGTAAGAAAAGTGTCTGTGGCAGCAAAGCAGAGCTGCTTTAATGCTGCTGCAACACACACACACACACACAAACACACACACACACAAACACACACACACACACACACACACACACACTCTATAAGTACAGTATATATTCATATACTTACACACACAGACACATTCAGACAGACACAAATGTATTCACAAACACACACACACCCTTTCGCTCTGTGTGTGTGTGTGTGTGTGTGTGCAGGCGCGCGCTTTGTGTTGGTCAGCAGATTTGCAGCGATGCGGCTCTGGAAGAATCACTTATGGATTAGAGTGCAGGAGAGTCCACAGTGTGTGTGTGTGTGTGTGTGTGTGTGTGTGTGTGTGTGTGTGTGTGCGCAATAGGCATTTCAGGTTATCAGTTAAAAGCTAATGTACTTGAATAGTGTGTGTGTGTGTGTGTGTGTGTGTGTGTGTGTGTGTGTGTGTGTGTGTGTGAGAATACATGTTCATTCAGCCTGAGAGAGACTTCATTTATAATACAGCCAAATAGAAAAACTTTGTCAGTAGGGAAAAATAAAAGTAATAAAGTTATTTCTATGAAAAGCAAATAATGGAGTGAAACAAGAACATCTGGAGGTAGAATTCAAAATTAAAGGATGAAAATGAGAAATCTCATTGTCCTTCATATTTTTTGTTTCAGCTTCACATTGAGTAAAATTGCAACGCTTTCCTTAGGGCGATGGTAAAAGTAACTGGAGCGAAATAGTAGCCAGGGCTGATGGTCTAACCTCAGCTTATATTGAGGAGCATTATAATGATCTCAACACTGATAGGATGCTGCTTCCATCTGCCCAGAGAAAAAAATCATCTCAGGTAAACCAGGGCCATCACAGGTGACCCCTCGCACCCCGCCCACCACCTGCTTGACCCACTAGTCGATCAGGTCCCACACCTCCGCACACTAACAGCTTCTTCCCCTGGGCCATTCAGACTGTTAACAAACACTACGCCGTGTAGCCCCACACACAGGGTGATCCGCGGTAACTCGTTAATTTGCCACATTAATGCAGTTACAGCGTTAAGGTCATTTTAACGAGAGTAACGCTGACAGCACTAAAATGGTAATCTCCAAATGTTTTCTTTTTACTGACCAGCTCCTCTTTGATAGCTGCCGTGTCCATCTTCTCGTTGCCTGCAGGTGAAGTGATGGAGGGGGAGGAGTTGTGTTCAGTGAAGGAGAGAGGCGAGGCAGAGTAACGTTGCGTAGAGACAAAAGTGGATGAAAGAGGCAAACTTGCGGTTCCACAAGTATAATTATAACGTAACATAGACTATATCGATATAAACGATATTATCACATCTCATATCTCGTATAAAAATATATTGATATATTTAAAAGCTCGATATATCGCCCAGTCCTAGGCTGAGTAACCCTCATCACTCAGGACACTCACACATGGACTCTAAGAAGTCCTTTTTTTCTTTGCACTGCTTCCGAGCACTTTGTCCTCTATTGTGTGCCTTTCTCTTATTTTTGTTATTTATTTCTTTTATACGCTTTATATTTTATTCCGGCAAAGTCGGTGTGAAGCACCCACAACTTCGTTGTACATGTACAATGACAGTAAAGGCCTTTTCTCTTCTCTTCTATCATCTACTGTTCTGAAGGAGCTAGTTCTCCTGCCGAATGTGCTGACAGGTGTCACGTGAAATTTAAAATTCAGTTTCTCAGCCATCCAAAGCAACACTAAAGACCACAATGTACAGCACCACTGAACAGTAAAGGACAGTGTTGTCAGCATAGAGGTGTTGTTTACAGCATGATTTGCAAAGGTCTGCCCACAGGCTGCCTCACTTTTGCTCTCAGCGTCTATTTTCTGAACAATTCCAATAAGCCTGAGCTCAAAGTGCTCAGAGCAAACATCTTCTGAACACCACTGCACTCACGGCGCTATCAGCTCAAAATAGTTCTATGGCTGCTCAATCAAATCAAAAAATGGACGGCACTTAAAAAAACACCACTTGGCACTTTCAGGGCAGAAACACAGACCCTGAAGAAGACACGGTAAGCCAAATACATCAGCAGCAATGCAACACCAAAAACCACTGTTCTAGGTACCATCATTCTATAAATTGCGTGTTTCTGTGTGGAGGAACATGTTACTCTTCTACAACTGTATTTCCGTGAAGCATCACAACCACAGCCCTCGCACTTTAATGAAGTCCAGTGTGTGAACAGGAGTCTGTGCAGGCTGCAGTCATTTTAATCGTTACCTGACATTACAGCTCATTTCAGGGACACGCTGCACGCAGCAACATGTGTTTGTGTACTTGAAAGACTAAGTCCAACCTCGGTTTTTCCTGCTGAGCAAACTATTTACCAACATCATGATGTTCCTGCTGTATGTAGGATGTTCAGGCTCCATTCAGGCTCCAACACGTACTCGTACATGTGCTTATGCGCTCTGTACCCTCAATAACCTTCCAGATACTGGCCAATCAGAGTACATGGGTTTCAGTTGGATTTGGACATAGCTGAGGAGACTTATTCAGAACTTTGAATCATGCAAAGCTACCCTTGGAGAACAAAAAGTTTAACAGACTTCACTGATGCTTTTAATTTGAAAGAATGCCTTATATTTCAGTGTCATTAAGTGAGTGTGAGATAGCAGCTGCATGTGAGTATCTGATCAAGCAGGGATAACTGTGTGTATGTGTGATCGATGGCTCTTTGATCGGGGGTCTGTGTGTGTGCTGACAGGCACTTTACATCGCCTATTGTTAGCGGTGGGCGATCGACAGACTCATATAGATCCCACTGCGCTCTCTGTCACTCTCTCCCTCTCTCTCTCTCCTGCATGTCGGCACTTTTTAAAGGTCATGTCCCCCCGCCTCTCTCTCTCACTTGTCCTTTCTGTCCATTGCACACCCATCTTACCCCTCCCCTCTCTCTCCTCCACCCTGCGGTCTCTCGATCGCCCGCCTGTCGCTCATATTTCCTCACAATTAGAGTTGAGTTGGAGCGGCTGCTGATTGGCAGCAGATCCTGGATCTGAAGAGTTTTAATATCAACTGGGGCTGCAACGATTCATCGAGTAATTCGGATAACTCGATTATATGAAATCCTCGTTTAATGCACAGCTCTGCAGCACTCACAGACCTGCAGTAGAAACACATTTAGGAGCAGCGTGTGGATAAAAAGTCTGACCACATTCAGCCCACGCAGTCCTGATGATGCTGGGACAGTTTAACACGGAGGCGGAGTCTGTTTGCACAAGAGGCGGAGCCACAACAATACAGTAAAAAAACTTTGTTTGTATAGCCCAAAGCAGTATATGTTCCTGTGATCACCATTAAAACCTTTACTGGGAAACAGCGAGCGGGAGTCCTTCATCAAAGCAGCTGATCGACAAACTACCAGAGGAAGAAAAGGAAGTTTGTAGCTGCTCTGCCCAACGCTGTTTGTTCTACACAGAGAAAAACCTGCAGATGAATTGTTATTATTAATATTAATTAACGACGCACCATCAAAGCATGTCTTCTCAGCAGCACAGGCACTTTGCATCAAAGCACAGGACAAACGTCACAATGCCAATATGCTCGCAGACACCGCATTCTCCTTTAAAGGCTTACAGACACAAACTCGGTCATTCACTGCACACATATGCACCCAATACATACATACAAACCAAATGTAATCTGGCTCATCAAGGAGATGAAACAGTGTCACAAACCTTCCAGGAACACAGAGTAAAGGTACACGTTTTAGGTTTCAGTTTCATACAGATTATATTGACCTTTGATAAGAGACTTGAGGTTTATTTATGTTTGCATTTAAGAAAATGTTTTCTATTTTAATATGGTGTGTAAAGAGTCATTTTGCAAGACCTGTGTTTTTCTCTTCTGAATATTTATCACAGAAGTAGTTCTTATCTGAGAATTCGATTAATCGATGGTGCTTCAGAGCCTTGAGCTGACTGGCCGCTCGTGCACTCTCCTGCAGCGTCGACTCTCACCATCTTTAAAACACATAATGTTTGAGTCTGTGTTGTTCACATTTTAATCTATGATGTTATTATACATACAGTGATTTTGGTAATCAGTTACTTATAAGGTGTTACTAAGTAACAGTTATTACTATTGTTATTACTATTATTGTTATAGAATACGGTGAACACCTGGCTCTCTGATGCACAGGTGCTCAGCCTCGTGCTGCAAGCTGAGCTCACAATTCACACTCTCCTAAACATGTTCTTATGTTCATCAGCAGGAAGACCACTCAAACACACATCAGCAGCCACACACACACACACACACACACACACACACACACACACACACACACAGTGTGTTCATTAAGATAGGCAGCCTGTGGTTTGGTCTGGAGGAATTACATTAGATGCACTATCGATGACAGATCTGCGATCCAATCAGTGCTTGGCCTCATTCAGCCTCACTGCAGGAGGAGAGTGAGAGAGAGAGAGACAGAACTTACTCTGAGACACTCGGACGAGCTCGGCCACCGTGAAAACTCCAGGTGTCACGAAGCTGTCCTGGAAGCCCAGGTGACCTGTGAGCAGAGGGAGGGAGGGGGTTATTACTATATTACTACTGTATCACCAACACATTTCGGCACAGCCAACCACTGACAAGCCCCCGAAATCTACACCTGCAGCAGGATTACAGGTAGTACTAGTACCAGTAGTACCAGGGAAGGATCAGTATGAGTGAGGAAGTACAGGCTTCTGTTTCCCAACAGGAATAATCAGGACCAGCTGTGTGTGTCTGCACACACGTAGCTGAACACCAGGGTCAAGGTCTAGCACACACACACACAAAGTAGAGAGGATATCCTTCTCTCTCTCACACACACACACACACACACACACACACACACACACATCCATCAACACACACACACACACACACACACACACAGCTATCACATCCATCAACACACACTTAAAAATCTTCCATACGCACTTCCCTGATCCAGACAAACAACTTCTCCTCAGGAATGTGTGTGTGTGTGTGTGTGTGTGTGTGCATATTTGACCACAGCCTCATTTCGTTTAACCACACAGGGTCACACACAGGTTGGCCTCAGTGTGTGTGTGTGTGTGTGTGTGTGTGTGTGTGTGTGTGTGTGTGTGTGTGTGTGTCTCACCGTTCTCCGGCTGCTCCTTGATGTCTGATTCGCTGGCCTGATTCGGGCTTTCTGATTGGCCGGATTCTGTGGAGAGAAACACAAAGATGAGGACGAGCCGAACAACACCAACTTAATAACACAATCATATACACACACACACACACACACACACACACACACACACACACACACACACACACACACACACACACACACACACACACAGTTGTCTGTTCTGATCCAGCGGTTACTTCACTGATAGCTGGGAGTTTAAAAAAAAAAAGTTATCTTTAATGTTATCATGAAATGTGTTTCATCCTTCATAAATGCTGTAAATACATTTTCGAAATAAAAAATATTCATCAATCAGGAAGTGCGACACTTTCAGAATAAATTCTTAAAGCGTCAGAAAGTCCCACACAGAGCTGACATCACCGTCAAGCTGCTGTTGGCTAAATTTTGTCTTTACGTCGTGGCCGCTGCCCTTAGTGTTTGGTAAAATAAAGCATTACCATTTGCAGATCAGGTTTGTCTCTGCAGGTAAAGTAATCACTTTTTTAGTTACTCTTTCAAATAAGTAATCAGTTAAGGTGTTGCTGCAGTTTCTCTTGTTCTACAAATCCCAGATCATCCAAGAACAGAAACGAGCACCAGTGAAGGCTATTCACCAAAATGTGGACTCAGCAGGTCATCTGCAAATCACAACTTTGGTGGTTTGATTCCCAGCTGCTCCAGTGTGCATTCAAAAGCACTCTGTTAATGGGTCAGCATGTGTGTCATTGCTGTTAAACACTGACTGTGTGTGTGTGCGTGTGTGTGCGTGTGTGTGTAGAGGGGATGCCTGTATTGATCTCCACACCACAAAACCTTCACCTGGTATCTCTCTCTCACACACACACACACACACACACACACACACACACACACACACACACACACACACACTGACTGGCAGACTCCAGCTGCTGCAGCTGATTCAGTCACACTTTCTGCACACGCTCAGTGACACAGGAAGAACTCGGAGCCTATGCTGAAGTTCAGATTGAGCGGACGGATGGAAGGATGGAGGAGTGAAATGTCTGAGGAGGAGCTCGTGTCAAATATCATAAATAAGCCAAGCAGCTGCGACCACCGACGCATGAATGGATAAATCCTCTTCATACTTAGTCTTTAAAAAGCATTTTGAATAATGTTTCATAGCTAAACCTGAAGTTAAAACGGCAGAAATACCTGGTGCGTGACAGAATCTCACATGGTGCACCCCGAGCGTTTTCAACAACCGCATGTTTACATGATTACAATGTACAACTACATAAAAAGTCATCGATTATCCCGCCATCAGCTGAAGGCATCTGTACCTAATAGAGTCCCGCTCAGTCCCAATCCATGCAGCTGCTGGAAGGTGGGAATTCTTGGAACTACTACAGCAAGGTGGTTAAAAAAGAGGAAACGGGTCATTTTCTTATGTCACAGGATTCTCTGCAGTGCTCTGAAAAACAACATCCAGCCTCACTGCTTCCACAGGAACAGCGGGATCAGCAGCAGCCAGGTGCTGCTCATCAGTCACGTGCTTAACCGATCATCAGCAGTGTGAGTGCCTCTGTGAAAGCAGAGGTTTTGCCAGTTTTCAGGTCTCAAGAAGTCAGGAATGTCTTACATCTCACAACAACAACAACAACAACAACAATAATAATAATAATAATAAAGGTACTTTTATAATGTTATTGTTTTTTTTGTTGATGAGTGAGTATAGGGGTGGGATTTAATAAGTTTTCTTCGTCCCACTCCTTTTCAGGCAATTTTTGTTTTTTGTTTTGTGCATTTTATGTTCAATATAGGTATTTGTTGTGCCTGAAAATAAACAAATAAATGAATGAATGAATGAATAATTACCCACTGCAAATATGAACTCAAACCTTCACCAACAGGGGCAGTGTTTAACCAGCAGGTGTGCTAAAATGCTTTGCTCTTCAAACTTTTAGTCTTTTTTCCCCCGATCGTTTTATTAACCGCTTAAATAAAGGCTACACCGACTCACTGAACCTCCTTGTGGCACGTAGCGGTATTACATGGCAGTACAGCCCAGTCCTATTTTGACCTGAGAATATCTCTTCAACACAACACGGATGGTTTGAGCGTTAATGTGTTATCAGCTGTTGCTTCACATTCTTAAAAATGCTTCATTAAAACTGCATCAGATCAAACTGAGCTGCAGGCGTCTGTAACTTATTTACACATTTCTTTGTTTTATTAAACAAAACTTGTCATCTGTGTTTTTAGAGTTTTCTCTCTTCTATGTGAGATCTGACATTTTTTGTTGTGGACGTGTGAGCAGCAGTAGGTCAGCTCCGAGTATCATGGCAAACGTTCTTCCTGTGTACAGCTCGTGCGACCGGCCTCTCTGCGTCTGCCTCCTCTTCCAGCATGCTCTCTGCTCCGATGCAGCTCCGCTCTTTCAAATGATTTAGCGGCTTCGGGGGCATCGATCGGCCACACTGCAGATAAAGTAGGCAGGGAGTGGAAGAAATATTACCCATCATCCCCCCGGAGCCTGCTGGCGGGGCCATGACTCAGGAGCAGACGGAGAGAAGTTGGAACGTCCAGGAAAGCAAAACTTTTAATTAAGGCAAACATGAAGGAAAGTGCGACGCACGGCGAACGTGACGGAGGCCCGGCTGAAGCCGCTGCCACGCGGGCCCAGATGTGTGATCCAAGAGGAAAATCAGGATCGAGAGGAAGAGCGGGCTTCGCTTTAACAGCTCACACGCTAGCTGAACGGTGCGGAGAGATAGTCAAGTGATTATCTCCTGCTGGTTCTGAGGCGTGAATATGTTTTCTTTAATGTGAGAGGAGGTGACAGGAGCGCTTTTTGAGTGAAGGAAAGCAGGTTGCCTCTGAAGTGATGGTTCGCTGAGTGTGTCGGGTCGTCCTGCGTGGATTAAAGGGCTTCTCGTTAGTGTAAATCACTTTGGTCCAGGTTTGAATCCTTCTGTGGAGTTCTTTCTGTGGAGTTCTTATTGCAGACCACACGTTATGGACGCTGCGCCTGCACATTTTCGCCGCGAGGTTGTGCAGTTCAGTTACATTTAAGAGACATGAACTTTTTGCATTGAGGCCCCATCCTCTGTCACACACACACACACACACACACACACACACACACACACACACAGGGCAGCATTTATCAGGCTTGTTTTGCATGCTGTTCACCGCGTCTGTTTGCTTCAGCAGCTTAAGACAAAGAGCATCAGGCGGAAACCACGGCAACTATGGGGTGGGGGGTTAGGGGTGCTGCTGATGGGTGTGTGTTGGAGGGCACTTTCACACACTGCCCCCCTACCCCATCGTCCCCCGCTCCCCTCATTCAGCCGTCAGCAGGTTAATTAAATATGCTAATGAGGCGTGGGAGCAGACCGGACTGTCTGCATCCACCCCCCCACTGAGGGGCGTGGATCATCTAACTCAAACCCCCCATCATCACAGACTTGTAATTAAGTCATATATTATAAACGAAAAAATGTTTCCATCTATACTTTGAATTTAAAAAGCTTTTTCCTTAAATAAAGAAGGATCAGGAAGTTTAATGAACTTCCTGATCCTTCTTATTTTCCTGTTTACAGTCCTTTTTGTTTCTTTAGAAAAAAAATCCTGAAACACACTCACCTCTGAAAACTTTTTTCCATCTGTCACCATCAAAGACTTTAAATATTAAATCAAATGAAATCAGAAGAATAGGAAAATACCTATGCTTTTACTCTGAAAAGCTTCTCAAGTAACACGTATCCTGGGTTAGGAGACCCACTTGAACGCTAGTGGAGCCTCGGACACCTGACCACCATGGAAAGATGCCGGCAGATCACGTGACCCTCACACACACTCACACGCGCACACACACACACAGAGCACTGGGACATAAAGGAAAAAATGGGACCAGACTTTCTAGCTCTCTCTGTGGGAAAGTCAAACTTGATCGCCCCAGAGGTCGCTCCCTCTCGCTCGCCCTGCTCTCTCTCTCTGACATGAACTGGTGCTTTTCTAGGAACAAGGGAGGGGGGCTACTGGATGCTTTCCAGAAAGGCAGCAGAGAGTCAGAGGCGGTGGGGGACGGGTTGGCGTTGGGGGTGGGGGGGTTACCTCTGAATTTTTCTGAAAAAAACTTCTCAAGTCGTCTTGCTAACTCCCGGGAATAAAGGTCAACAGGTAACGTTCCCGGGATTCACATTAATGGTGCCGACCAGATATCATCACTGCCAAGAACACAGTGCACCGTCACCACCTGCACCCCACCTGCACCCCACCTGCTCAGCCTCACCCCCACGTTCCCCTTTCCCAGCAGCTCATTCAGGACTCTGCTGCAAGGTTATTGATTAAACCCAAGAACCAGCAGAGCACCAGTCCAACCAGTCCACCTCCAGTAGAGCTCCACTGGTTTCCACAGAACGGGTTTTGCTTCCTGTGATGGGAGTGGATGACTTACCTCATGAGAAAAGACGTGCTCATTTAGAGCAATCATACGTTATGGCAGTTTTATACAAGTGCCAAATAAATCAGTTTAAAATTTCCGGAGATTATTTCCAAAAACGCAAAAGCTTCTGTCAAAAGGAACCAGGTCTGTCTGCAACTACAGGATGGGGGAATTATTACAGTGTGACACGTCGAAGGCCCTGGACGAGAACGTCCTGTGTGAGAGAGGAACGCGCAGCTGGATGGCGTCTCTCACGGCAGAGAGGATGATGGGCAATTTAAGCAAAGCCTTTCTCGTGTGCGTCGCTGATCTCAGTGTGACGCGGTAAATCTGTTGTAAATCTAATGATAATGACATCATCACCAGTTTTACTGCAGAGCAAAATAAAAATGAAACGTCAGTTCAGAGGTGCTGTCAGCTGACACAGACGCCGTTTCTCACTGGTGTGAAGTTCTGTCACACCGGTTAGGACACAAGAAAGCTCGTGTTTAAAGAGGTCACACTTCCTCCGGGTTTGTTTTTAATGCACACAGACTCCGCCCCCCCATGACCGAGCCACGCTGGGATCGCGCTGTCGTCTCCTGGCAGAGCGACAGGAGGCAACACAAACAGAAACAGC